GAACCTGTATCCAGCAGCAGAATATGTAATTTTCCTTTAATAAAACCATCAACAAAACACTACTGGATTGGTGTAAAAGAGATGCGACACGTTCGATATCCTCTGCAACGACTTCGTATATGTCCGAGCTTTCCACATCTCCAACACCGGATTTCCTTCTTTTCTGGTAGATTCTCTTTAAGAACTCGCCTGATTTCTTCAATTATACGGTTCCTCCTCTTTTTCTTCCTCGACTATCCTAATTCTATGCTGGCTCCTGCAGCTCTGCTTTGCCGCCTCGGACGAGCCAACGTCAGAGCCTGTCTTGTTTCATTGTCCATCCAAAAAGGCTTGAACCGCTAATTGTTCCATAACGGTCGTTGGAGTAGTGGATATGCTAGCCGAACCAAGCGTGCAATATCCGCCTAGAATTCTTGTAAAGTCTCATTTGATTTCTAGCAGCGATTCTTCAGTTGGGAATGGTACACATGTTCCAGATGTGTCTGGCCACATCGAAGTTCCAGATGTTTCACCAACGCTTCGTAATCTTCTTGTTCGTTGGAAGAAAGTGTCTGCAAGATGTCGGTTGCATCTCCTCGTAAAGCAAGAGTCAATGCTGTAGTCTTCTCTTCTGGTAGCCAGCCATTTGCTTTTGCTGCTGCCTTGAACTGACGTATGTAGTTGGTCCAAGAAGTTTTTCCATCGAACTGAGGTGGTTTCATCCGTACTCGGCTTCCCTCCGGCACTGCTCCTGGTTCCGTCAGCATCATAGGTAAATTTACAGCTTTCAGTTTACTATTTATTTCTCTAATTTTGACTTCCAATTTCCCTCGTATCCAATTCCATCCTTACGTTATTTAATTCCATCCTTACATCGTCAACTTTCTGTCCCACTTTATCTTCTAATTCATTGACATTTTCTAGAATCTTCCCTTCCAAATATTCTTTTAGGTTTTAAGAAATTTCTAGCATTTTCTGTTGTAACTCGTTAGCATTGTCCAAAATTTTCTGTTGTAAATCGTTAGAATTTTTCAGCATTTTCTGTTGTAAATCATCCTTTAATTCGTTGACATTTTTCAGAATCTTCTGTTGTAAATCGATTTTCAAATCGCTAAAATTTTCCACCATTTTCTGTTCTTTAGAATTTTCTAGCATTTTCTGTTGTTAGTCGTTAGAATTTTCCAGAATTCTCTGTTGCATTTCGCTAGAACATTTTCTGTTGCAACTCGTTGGAATTTTCCAAAAAGTTTTGTTTTAAATCACCTTTCAAATTTTGCAACAATAAATGCATATCACACGAACCTTCAAATAAATACGTATTTGGATTTTCACCCTCTTGTTCCAACGCTTCTCGAAGCCGCTGCTGCAACACATTCTTTTTTCCAGTTGTCTCACTTTCCCCTTCTTCCCGCTTAAGGTCCGCCACTTTTAAGTCCATTAACGAAACCATTTTCGCAAAGTTTCACACTAACCTGGTTTATTAACGAACTAAACTATTTATTTTTATAACTTAATAAGAAACTATCAAACTAACTAAGCACTAATTATTTATATGTCACTACTGTACTAGAGTCTATTTATTTGCACGTGTATTTATTTATTTCTTCGCGAGTACCAAAACTTGACTGACTGCTCTATGCTGCTCCGTTCCTTATTTATTCAGCGCCTACGTCTTCTGGAACATTCCAGCGAGCTCCACACTCTCGATGGAGCGCTGACTCACCGGCGCTGACTCACCGGCGATGACTTCGGCGATGACTCATCGGCGATGACTCATCGGCGATGAGTCATCATTCCGAGATCCAGAGCCGTACTCGCTACAGTATTTTAAACCGTTGTATCTTCCTAGCAAGGCAAATACACAAAATTTTTTTTTTACAGTTTTTAGTTTATAGTGAGAAGAACATTCTATTTAATTTTGAAGAATTTTCGTTTAGTCCCTCCGGACGAAAAAATGCATTTTTTTCGCCAAAAATGGCAAATTTTCATAATTACGATGGTATTTCCTGCAATTTGGATACTTTTTATAATTTCGCATTTTATATTTTAATCAATTACTTTAAATAAAAATATACACCGAATTAAATTTTCATAGCCTACATAATATCAATGGCAGAAAATTGACATTTTCAGTTAAAAGAAGTGTACATTTAGAACTAAAAAACTGCATTTGTAAAAACATTTGTATAATTTTAGGCATATGGTTAAAACAAAATATTACGCGATACAAAATATTAATAAACACTTAGGTTATAAATGATTTTCTTAGACACCGATTTGGTAATTTTTTATGCAAACCGGTTGACTTGGCCCTGTCTACTTTTTCAGGGTGTTGAAATAAAAAAATATTATTGTGGTTTTTGTTCATCCTTTCAGCTTTCAATTTTTGTGAAATTTGGTGAAAAATTATGAGAATTACTCTAAAGACAAAGCGTTAAAAACTAAGCGATTATTTAATTAAATATTAATTGCTTAAAAACAAAGCATTGTGTACAACGTTTATAAAATATTGTTTTATTTTCATTAAGATACTTAACTACGGTTTCGCGAAAGGATCGAACGGTCGATTTGCAAGGGTTCAAGAAATTGATTGAAACTTTTTTACCTTATTTCTACATCTAAATGCAGTACTTTTTTCAACAAAAAAATCTCGTCCATTGACAACTTCGTTTTTATTTTTATTTTTTTCTTCACTTTGTTAAAAAGGAAGACATTTTTTTAGATGTATTTAGATTGTAACGTACAGGGGGCGCTGGTGATAATTTAATTTAAAATTTAACAATTTTTAAAGGGTTAATAATCGAAGAAGCAACTTTGTTTTATAAATTTGAATATAACACATTATTGTGTATTGATATTTGACTATTATTTGATATATTAACTTTTTATGCAAATTATGTTTCTGTGGCCAGCCAGGATCAGTTTTGAATTAGCAGTAGCAGTATTCATGAATGTTTAGTTTAGTACATTTTGTCATTTTTATACTAATATTGTTATATCTTTTATTAATAATTAATAATACATAAATAATAGACGTTTAATATACACGGTGTTTCACTTTCGTAGTCCGTAAGAAGTTTCTAGGGAATCGCGAAAGTCATCGATTTAAAATTTTAATAGCGTAAATTATTCGATTTATACTTTTTGTCTTTAACTTTGTTATTTTAAACAGGACACCTCATATATTTTTACATTTTTTAATTCTACATAAAATTCTGAATAAAATGGCTATACCATCTCCTATACCTAAAGTAAATATTTGTAACTTTAGGAAACATTTATTATAATACCTACCAATCAAAAGATTCTTTAATTTTCTATTTGATTATGTTAAAACATACAGGGTTTTACATTTATAATAAAAAGTTTATTATTTTTTGAAGTTTGTCTAATTTCAAGCGGTTTTGCTCAAGCTATTTGTTGAAAAACCTTTAAAAAAAAATAAATTATTTAAACAATGTTTTAATATTGCAAAAATCCAAACCCCATGCCAGCAAATATAATAACAAAAAAATTAGAGGCTATATATATATTGATTAACGTGCATTTAGCAAAATTTTAACGAAAAAAATTAATATATTGAAAACAATTGACTTTAGGTATAGTCTAAATCAAATTGTATATGCTATTAAAATTTCAAATCCATATCGTTTGCGTTTTTCCAGAAACACCCTGTATCATACAGGCTGTATGGCATTATATTAAATATAAAAAATGCAAAATAACTAATTACAAAAAAGCGAAAAACAACTGAATAAAAAATATACATAGGTATATCTAAATAGACGATTGCAACATAAAAAATAAAGTTTTTATTCTAATTTTTTTATTGGGTAAATATTACTTTCCTCAATTTGGAATTAAAATTGAAGCTTGCTTATCGAGTAAAAAATAAATTGAAGCTTGGTTGTGGAGCAAAAAATAAAATTAAAGTAGGTTATAATTTATAATTTGCTGACACTGTCTTTAATTAATATTTAGTTTATTCATTTTAATAAATTAATGTTTGAGTTTATACTAAATTGAAACGAAATGAGTCATTTGCAACTTATAAACTAAACTGTCAAATTATATTTTATGCTTTCAATGGTAGGTTATCATAAAGAAAAGTCTATGATGCCTACTATGATCAAAATTAGTAAACTTGAAAAGATTTATAATTAAAAGTAATTTTATCTCCATCTATGGCGATTTTTAAAAATAAATATGTAGGAATTGTATGTTATATATAATATATTATATGTAATATATAATGTATAATATGTAATATAAAATACATTATCTTATAAAACTAGATAAAAGAATACATACTTTGTAAAACACGTTAGTATTATGCCCTTTGAAGACCTAACTTAAACATTGTGTCTCTCGTAGAAACATAATTTGCATGTAGAAGTTTATATATCAAATAATAGTTAATTATCAATACTTTAACGTGATATACTCAAAATTATAAAACAACGTTGCTTCTTCGACTTTTAAACCCTTAAAAAATGGTAAAATTTTAAATTAAATTGTCCCCAGCGCCCCCTGTATGTTAAAATCTAAAAATACGTGGATTTATTCCCACTAATAAGGTCTACATTTTATTTTAATTTCAAATCGATACGTTTTTAAATAAAAATGTTATTACTAAATATCGAAATTTATTTATTTTTAACACAGTAGAGTAACTTAAGGCCTAAAAACCACAGCGGTTAATGGATAAAACATTTTTTTTTTTTTGAAAATAATGCTCCATTTAGATGTAGAAACAAGGTTAAAAAATATTTTCAGTTCTGGCATCACTTGCAAACAAATGTTCAAAATTTGTTCGATTTTTACGCGAAACCATAGTTAATTTAAAAAGCTTTTTTTAAATTGTTTACGAAAATTTAACGATTTATTTAAAAATTGAAAGGTTATTAACTACCCGAGAAATAATTCTTCAAGACTATTATAGTAATATAATATTACAATAAAGGTGTTTTTCGTTAAAACATGCTCCAAAATACTTATATCAATCTTTTTAATTTTTTCAGGTATTTATGTATGGAAGACTACTCCGAAATAGGAGAGGAATACCAGCTGCTATATTCAAAACTCCTAATGGTCTTACAATATGTCATCCCGTCTATCGTCTTACTATTTACTTACACCAGCATAGCTGCAGTTATTTGGTGTCACAGAATTCCCGGAGAAGCTGAAAATTTACGGGACAGACGAATAGCACGCTCCAAGAAAAAAGTAAGTACATTATTTTTTAACAATTAAATTAAACATGTAGATCAATAATCCGCCTTATAATATTTCTTTATAATTAAAAAGCCGTAAAGCAATTAAGTATTTTTTAAGTTTATTGTATAGATTTCATTTACCTAGTACCTACTTATCCCTTTATAGGGCAGAATCCATTAATTGTTATTTTTATTTTTTTTTTGGTAATACCTACCTATTTTGGATGTCTTAAGTTATTTTAATGATTATTTTGAAAATCCAACTGTTTTTTTTTAATTTATCATGGTGGATAAAATGGAAACCACTGCCCATAAGATGATAGATGGGCGGTGATCTAAATGCAAACCACATATTTAATTTAATCGTTTTTTTTTGCGTTTCTGAAAGGATTTTAGTTTTTTTTCAGGACCAGGTAAAATAATTACATGGTGTATGCTATAAAAAAGCAAATATTTATTTCCAAATTGTTCACTGTCATTATTCTTATCTGGAAACGGTTTTAGTAAATTTCTATTTCTCAAAGTTTCTTCATTGTTTGATTCTACCTACTCTTGTGTTTGTGAGTAAGTTACAGTGTCATTTCTGTGATGCATATTTTTATTTTTATTTTCACTGGTCAATTTAGAAAATGACCTACTACTGGTAGTTTTCTCTGAATCTGATGAGTAATCGCGATACTGAGTCATCTGAAAGAACATCTGCATCAGAGTCACTTTCACCCCCAAATCTATTCAAAATTTGTTTTCTGAAATGTATACTGGATGTTCGCTCACTACGATTACGTAGGCTGTATCGTGCTGAAGTATTGGCAAAAGTTACTTGTAAACATGAAGATGTACTTGGTGAATTCAGACGAAAAGTACTTGGGGAATATTGATGGGCTGTCGCCCTCAATCTCCGAATCCATAGCCTGATCTTCGGTTATACCAACAACTAGATAAAATAGTTTACTTGAATCCAATTTTTCAAAAAACCAAAAAATACTGGACATGGATTCAATAGTCTCACGGTATGTGAGCTTGATAGAGGTTATGTTCCAAAACGATCTAAATATTTCGTTAGCGCTAACCTATTTTCCAATTACTATTATCACAAGTTGTAAAGCATTCAATTAACTTTTGAATTATGTGTGTTGTCAGGTAAAACAAACATGCTTATGCTCGCTAGCAGCAACAATTACTGCAAATGTTACTTTTTCGCAATTTTGTGGGAACAGGCAATGGTTAACATAGAGACCACATTGGTTCTAACAATTGCCAAATTTAAATTATGGCCAATATGATAGCCACTGCACATTATGAGTTAATTTATTTGTACTTTGGTCGAAGTTTGGGTTCTCTCTCACTTCTAAGTAAGATGTAATGGATGTGGTTAACATAGAAACCATTAACCTATAAAGGGTTATTTCACTTATTTCAAATGCACGTTTTTAACTAATCAACAAAAATAAAACCAATCATTACAACAATCTTTGTTTCTTAAAAGAGTTTATAAAGTGGTTTAGTATTGTGTAGCCCTTTATTTTTTACTTCAATAAAAAATATGATTGTTAATCTACAGGGAAAATCTCAAGAGCATGAAATTTTTGTTTAACTTTGGCCCAAAAGAATAATCGATTTGTATAATCGAAATAGCAGCCATTTTTAATTATTTTTATATTTAATTGGACTATTATGACTTGTTAGTCAAAAATTTAGAAGTCAAGTTAGAACGTCTGGTAATATACCCCCTACGCGAAATATGCAATTTTCATGTTTAGTTTTAAATAGTGTTTAAAACGCGATTGTTCACATCTGTCACGGTTCGCAAAAAAAGTAACATTTCAAAAAAAGGCCTGCAAAAAAGTGTACCTAAATATATTGAAATTCCTAACCCTTTTCCAAAATAAAAAAAAATAAAAAAAAAAATATTTTAACCAATTTTTTTTAATTCATATTTAAAGCTTTTTTTAAATAAATTTATTAAAAAAAAACTTTATATATGAATTTAAAAAAATTATGGTTAAAATATTTTTTTTTTTAGTTTTTTAATATTAATTTTGTAATTTCACTATTTTAAATTTCATATTTATAGAGAAAATAATTATATTAATATTTGAAATCCTACGACGCTTTTCTAGCCCTCGCGCTAACGCGCTAGCGCCTCGGACCATAAAAACCTTATTATGCCCTTAATACATAAATAACTATTACGTGTCCTAGCGTTTAGCGTTTATTTCAACCTGATATTAAATAATGTGATAACTTTTATGTTTTTAAAAATATGATTACCTATATATAACTTTTATGTTTTTAAAAATATAATTGTAAATCACTGATTGGGAGTTTGTGATATTTATACATATAAAGGGGTAAGAAGTAAAAGGGTACAAGTGCAAAAAAGAGAAGTTGAGTTATAACTCTTAAAGTTTTTGCTATATACAAAAATCTGGATACTTGTTTCAATATTATTATTTGCATTAATCAACATGCAGAACTCGTACCATTTTCAAGTTATGAGAAAATTAAAAAAAAATGGACCATATCTGCACTTAACTTATTTTCATGCTAAAATGCACTTGTACCCTTGCTTCATATGTGAACAAACAATGTATTTGTTTTAAATGTTTTAAAATAGCAGAGGCTAAATAAATGTATTATTATTAGTAGGTATTATTATTTATTATGAAAAAAACATTTTTTTTAAGATTTAAATTTAAAATTAACATTACATTACAAAATAGTCGAGAAATTAAAATGAACTAAGAAATCGGAAAATTGACAACAATAAAGTTTAAATTATGATTCTATTAAAGATATAAAGTTTTTATTAAAAACAATTTTTGACTCTAGAATTATTTTAGATTATTTTAAAAGTTTTTAGGCGGGTGGTTTCAAATAGAAACCATTAGTGTGAAGTGGAAAATTTAATTTTGCGCACCGGCGCGGCTATCTATTCTATATTCTTTTTATATGGTCCAATAGACCAGGTCTATACCTTATATTTTTCCTACTTACACTTGTTAACAGAATGACAATTTTGTTGAAACAAAATAGTTGGTATTCTTCTTGTGAAAAGTATTTATGACTAAAATTTATAGTAAAAAAATGGGAAAATTGATATAGGAGAATATATGTAAACCTATATGAATAAATTGGTATTTCTATATAAATACAAATAGTAGCTATATAGTACCTATATAAAAACCAAACAAATTGTAAAATAATCCACGAAAATATCTTTGTTGTATCCAAATACAATATATGAAGTGCTTGCATCTCTGCGTTTTATAAGCATTTTCCCTTAAGGGGATCATAGGAAAATTCAATCAATAAGTTTGCTTTTTACTTTAGATACATCCAATGTATTTTATTTTTATCATAGCACGCTTAGTTGACAGCTCATTCTGCATGCAGAAGAGTGATTAGAAGTTCATCAATCATTTTTATGGACCAATAAAAAGAATTGGAAAGTGTCACATGTGCGCTATATACATGGCATGTTTGCTCAAATGTACATTTTATCAAACGTAATAAAAATAACTTGCAATATTGTTTTTACGAGCGAAAAATAGAACCTTTATAATTTTTCCACAATAAGCTGCACAAGGCGACGTATAAACAATATTAAATTAAATATAATCCGTGTATAGAGGAGAATAAACGGATTTATTTTGATTTTATGTAACTTCTATAAGGACGTTAAGTGATTCTGAAAAAATCGCCATTTCGCAAAAAAAATTTAGGCTAAAAGTTCTTCAAGATTAAACTTTCACATATCGCACATCCGGAAGAAAAGCGACACAACTCAAAAATTGTAAATTTTCAGGAGAAGCAATTGAAGTTTTAAAATTTTATCATTATGTAATGTTCAAACATGAAAGTTGATTTTTAATAAATTAATATTTTTTTTCATTTTTAAATGCTTTTAAAACATTCCTGAGTAATTTCTGTTTGATTTTTTTTTATTTTTGAGTCTAGAATTATTACTTTTTTGAAATAAATCACAGATATGTCACTTTTCAATTATAAAACGTTGGGTGTTGTTAAATAATTTTTACTTAGTTCCAAGGATACACTATAAAATAAAATGTAATTTAAATGGCATTTGCACTTTTTATTATAAAAATAAAATACTCATTTTTTGATTAGGTATATATTTTGTCAAAAATATTAACTGTTTTTTTTATGAAGGTCAGCTATAAAATTAGAAAAATAAAAACAGGATTGTGTTGTAAAAACTAGAATAAATCCTAAACAAAAAATAGCAAAAAGGTAAGTATTATAAAACTTAATTTTTATAATAGTGAAAGTATGATTTTGGGATTGTAGCCCGGATTGTAGTTTTTTTGGTATTTTTAAATAGAGATAATAACGAGTTTTTCTTTTTTTCTGATAATCCAGGTTTTCGTGTATATGCTTTTCTTAAGAATAAAGGTCTTTCGATTTCAGACCTACTTCTTTTCCTTGAAGATTCGTTTACGTCTATTAACTTAAAGTGTTCATCAGCATAAGAGTTCTTGTAATAAATAGTATTTAAGTTCTCTTTAGTCACAATAAAAATCTTTAAATTTGAAATTTTGAAAGGTTCTTCATCGATCTTTCTGTTAAAATTTTTTAAAACCATATCTGAGCCTAAAGTTTTAAAGTCAAATATGAAATTTCATTAATCTTATGGTATCCGTTCGGGGATATAAATAGGTCCTGACTTCAGACTTTTTTATTTGCCTTTTTATAACTGCAGTTATGGACAGAGTCGCCTTCATTTTGACTGTGTCCTGAAATTAGATATTTGTGTGTGATACTTTTAACATTTTTAGTGTAGTTACTGCATAAAGATACATTGTGAATAAAAAACGATTTTTTGTTGACGCCCACAGTTGTCTGAATAAAATACGACATCAATATTGGTGTTTTCTGATTCTCCTTGACTGTTAATTTTTTCTTAATATTTGAAGACACAAGTACCAATTTCATTAGCACCCCTCTGTACCTGACCCTCATGCCAAACGAAACATTCCAGGTCTTTTG